TGAATTTATATTGCACTTTACAAAGTGTTTCGCTAAGCCTCAAAACACACCTGTGAGCTAGGTAAGTATAATTATCACCTTTTTACACAAAGAAACTAAGGATCACATCAGGTGACTTGCCCAATCTCACACAGAATCAGTGATAAGAACCAGGATTTGAAACCAAGTCTCCTGATTCTCAGCCTTATCTCTACCTAACCAACTCACAGCAATACTGCCTAGCAGGCAAAAATAGCCTCTAATTTTGTGCTCCCAACTTTAGTCAGTGTGGGCATACTTACATTTATTACATGTTTGTGCAGTGCTCTGTACACCTGATCAAGTCCTTTAGTCAATACCATAAGATAAATGTTAAATAATTATAATAATAAATCTAAGACCCAGTATTGGTCAAACACTATTTAATTGAAATTTGTCTGAACTTCTGGAGTAATGCGAGTTGAAGACTGGGACATATATGTGGAAAGTATTTTATTTTTGTCTACAGTACAGGGATGCTAAACCAGCCAAGATAAAAAGCATTTCACAAAAATGGCATGAAGACACAATTGGCCGGTTCACTTTGTGCACAAAACTTTCTTTCTGCTCTACCATCAGCTCTGACGTCACTTCATTTTTCATAGAAATGCTTCCAATTCTAGCCTGGAGAGGTGAAAAAAATTCAAGCGCCTTCTGCTTCAGGAAAGTCTTGAATTTTCCCAATTCAGCCAAGAGAGTTGAGCTGTACGCACCATTAATTTCTATGCAGAAAACAACGTTCACTTCAACCAGCAATTAGTAGCAACATTTCTATCTTGTGTAGTGATGAGATTTTTATGCTAATCATTAAATAGCAGTAAATTAATCATTTGGGCACATTTAGATGGGATGTATATTTCATGAGACAGATAAAGATATCGAGATCACTTTGATATTTACTCATGGTAAATGTCAGTGTCTCAGATCATTATGAGGGAAGCATACTAAATACATATGCAGCCAGAAATGTCTGTAGTGTAAATGCATAAGAATCACAGCTTCACCTCTAGTACTAGGAAATTACTGTCCTTCTCATCTCTGTTTAATTATTGCAAGGGAGGTAAAAACCCAAGGGATCATACACTTAAATCATTCAAAGAGACAGTATAAACTTCAAATACCACCATCACATGAAGGACAAAATCAGTAACCTGATTTCTCAGCCTATAACTCCCTCCTTTTATAAACGGAAAAATTACCCACTTTGCATCAGGCATTCATCTCAATTTGCAGATAGTCTAGTCAGCCAAATGAATGATGGATCTGAATTGACCTCCCCGCCCACCCCAAAGAAATGTCTGGAAGCTCTGACTCCTAACAGAAAGGAAGCCTGCCTGCATCTGTCCCCTTCTCTCAGTTGATAAAGGAGGTTTTTAACATCTCAACTAAAATGTTTATTTAAATTTTCTGACACTGTTCCACATATTTTTATTACATTTAAATACCTTCACTCTTTCTTGGATTCAAAATAGGAAAGGGCATCCCAGTGCAATTTTGGAGGTATTCTTGTTGACCTGAAGGAAACTTATGTCTGGTGCATTTATTTTATCATGTCATTATAATATTTACAAGAAGCCCTGACTTCCTATGTGTTGCCTGTACATGAAAAGAAATTTTTTTTTTACCACCTCTTAATTTTTTGTCTCTGAAGAAAGCATGAAGTCCTGACTCAGAGATCAAAGGCAGTGTACAAGTTGAAATCAAGGTTGATCCCCCAGTCCTGTTACGGATATCTCTGAATCACCTGGCTAGGTGATTGCAAATGCTTCCAAATAGAGAACTGAACAACCTATGTATAAATTTAATAGCTAACACCTAAAACATCATCACTACTAAAGAACACAACTCCTACTTTGAGCAGGAATAAAGGCAAAATATTGAAGGGGAACTACAAAGACCCAATAGAAATGGAAAGAAAAATCTATACATAAATCATTTCATTATTTATTTACCACTGCCTGTAGGACCTTTGAAATAGAGGCATTTGAAGATGCAGGTTTATCAGTTCTATAGTGTCTACTGGAAAACATGGAAGTTTGTCAAAATAGCTGGCATGCAAATCTCTGAAGAATATCCATTCCTCTCAGTCCATGAGACTGGTGGAAAGAGTGATATTATCTTCAGAAGAAGTAATTTCCTTAGTTTTACAGGCTCTTCCATGCAAGCTGTGATCTAACATGCAATCATAAATATAGAAGTTTTGCTCTCTCTGCATCTCAGATGATATTTCACAAAGACTATGGTGAATTTTCTCATTGGTCTAGTTGTGTTCAGGTAAATTTGGACTGACCTTTTAACATCCAAGCTGTACTACAGATTCTCTTTTGGATGGACTAATGAAGAAGGTGGGAAGAATAATCTCTATGTAAAATTTGGAATTGCACTTTGGTATGTATCTTGGAGCTATGTACAGAACAGCTTTGTCTGGAGGCCTAATACAATATGGCATTCTATGGAGTGCTCCCAACTCAGAAACTGCCAGTTGACATAATGGCAGCTAAAGAACATGCTTTGACTGAAAAGAATACCTCTATCAATGGCTCAAATGGGGCAGAGGTTAAGGCTTGTAACACCAAGTTTACCCTTCCTGTTGGAAACCTATGGATCTTTGAGGAACAAAGTCACTTTGACAGACCTTGATAGACAAAGATGTGGTGCCAAAGTTCATGTAAGGTCTCAAAAACAGGACAAAGATTTGAATTTAGAGACTGACGACAGCAAAAATCTCCCATTAGTGAGGACCACCAGCCATGCACTCATCAAAGAAACATTTCTGCTACTTTTACACTACATTGCTCTTGAAAGCTGTAGAAATTTTGTGGTAAGTTTATGTCAACCATTTCTTTTAAAAAAAGAAGAGAGAATATCTATATACAGTGTCCGTGTAGGATTAGTGAAACGCATATATTAGTTAAAAATCAAAATAGGAACACTATCAGGGCTCTATTGCGGTAAATCTCAATAGCTGGAAGGAAATGGAGGTCTCAGATAATTATCATTCGGACAGCAGAATCTTCCCCAATAGCTCAACAGTTCAAATCCATCACAGGCAAATAGCAACTGGAAGTTATTGCATTAGCAGGAGTGTTGTAAGCAAGACATGAGAAGTAATTCTTATGCTCTACTCCGCGCTGATTAGGCCTCAACTGGAGTATTGTGTCCAGTTCTGGGCGCGACATTTCAGGAAGGATGTGGACAAATTGGAGAGAATCCAGAGAAGAGTGACAAAAATGATTAAAGGTCTAGAAAACATGACCTATGAGGGAGGATTGAAAAAATTGGGTTTGTTTAGTCTGGAAAAGAGAAGACTGAGGGGGACATGATTACAGTTTTCAAGTATATAAAAGGTTGTTACAAGGAGGAGGGAGAAAAATTGTTTTTCTTAACCTCTGAGGATAGGACAAGAAGCAATGGGCTTAAATTGCAGCAAGGGAGATTTAGGTTGGACAGTAGGAAAAACTTCCTAACTGTCAGGGTAGTTAAGGACTGGAATAAATTGCCTAGGGAGGTTGGAATCTCCATGATTGGAGATTTTTAAGAGCGGGTTAGACAAACACCCCTGTCAGGGATGGTCTAGATAATACTTAGTCCTGCCATGAGTGCAGGGGACTGGACTAGATGGCCTCTCGAGGTCCCTTTCAGTCCTATGATTAGTGGCAAGTTTAGTACCTGATGTGACATTTATTTTGCTTTCTTTAGACATTTTCCCAGTTCTGAATATCAATAAACTCAGTAGGCATGCTGCAAAATTTAGAAGTTTAACAATAATTAATATATGCCAAAAGAACATGAGAGGAAAACATGCCCTAGAATCTCTCCCAATTCTGTCGTCTTCTCTTCTAAAAAAAGAACCCCATGCCTCAACAGAGTGAGTCTGGAAGGCCACCCGGGCTGGGCAAGAGAAAACCAATAGTGGATGAGGGAAGTCAATCCCCAAATTCACTTCTCATTCTCACTGCCAATGTCCAGCTACCAGCCCTCTCCTGTTTAGAATCCAACCGCCATGATATTGCATGGGAACAGAGACCGCTCAAGGACTAGAAATGTTTAGAGCTGTGCCAATTCAAAGGGGCAGCACTCCGTCCGGTATCGGGGTGGCATGTCCGGGGCTTTGGCGGGAATTTGGCGGCGGGTCCCTCATTCCCTCTCTTCCTCTTTGAGCTGCCACCAAATTGCCACCAAAGAGGAAGAGAGGGAGGACCATCCGCCGAATTGCTGCCGAAGAAGCGGCGTGATTGAGCTGCTGCCGAAGTGCTGCTGCTCGTCTTTTTTTTTTTTTGCTGCTTGGGGTGGCAGAAAAGCTTGAGCCGGCCCTGACCCAGGTATCAGTTGGCAGGCAGTGAAGATCACAGAACACAGCTGTACTGTCTCCTCTGCATGAAACACTGTGTGTGGTGGGAGAGTGTAGCCATATAAACATGCACTGCAGATACGTATAGTGAAACCTGCATTAGAAAGAACAGGATACAGCCTTCTTTCCAAAAGAAAATGACTGAAAGCACTTGTGGCAACTGCTGTTACTTGGACATTCAGCTGCAGGTTGTGAAGCTTAATACCAAATGGCCAGCAAGCTCCCTCCTGCCGGGGGTACTGACAGAATTCCCACTATTCCTTCTGTTTCCCTTCCATGATGTAAGACTTGGCTTTTCCTAGATGAAGTGTGAATTGAACAACATTATCCCTCACCACGTGTAAAATTTCATTACGCACTGTGTCTGAAGTCTCAGTAAGGGCGACCAGCATGATTTGAATGGATTTGGAAATTTTTAAAGCTATACTATTTTAGCCATTGCACCTTTAAGACATTAAGCAAATTGTAACATCCAGGGTTAGCCTGGCCTATAACCCCAACACAATGTGAACGTTGTATTAGTTTAAAAAGCTATGGAAGCATGAGATCACTTTTAGTGCTAATGTGTCATACTAATATCTAAACTAAAAAAATCCTTCACACATTACATGTAAACACAGTAAAACTACTATTCTGATGCAACAGATTTATTCAGTGTATTTTCCTGCTATACAGAGTTACTTATTTATAGACAGCTATTCTGCCATAATTTTAGGAGACAGACATTAGACATTGATTAGAGGGTAAAAATACTTAATAGAAGAAACATGAAATAAAATCACAAATGGAAGGCATTAAATCAGTAAACAGGACCATGTAAAAGGAATGCTTTGAGGTCAGAGAACAAAAACAAAAATCAGCAAAAACCAGGATGGAAAAGGAATTTCCCACAGCTGTGGACCACATGCATTAGTGGACTGAAGAATATAAGTCTTCTTTCTTGCTTTTTTATTACCTTGGCAACATCTCTTCCATGTCAGCAATTACATAGGAGACGACAGTCCAAACAGCAGCACAGAGATTCATCTGGCTTGGATCCTGAACTGTCATTGTGTCCCCTTGAGTATGATGAAACCAGAAGTATTTACTGATGTCATCACGCAAGCTGGCACCTACAGAGAAAAATGGGCAATTCCTTATGATGTAAATACATATATTTTAAGATGAACATAAACATGAATTTATTCCTGTGCTGGTCTTCATTAAATCCATATGCAACAGAGTAAGTTTCCATATGATAATTTCACTGAGCCATAGAACATGGGATTTTTCAGCATTTTAGCATAAACAAATTTTACATAATGTTAGCAGCCTTGTTATGAGTACATGAGACAGCAAACATGTAAATTAATATAGAAGGGAAAGGCAGTATTTCCCTTAATATCTTTGTTGCACCAGCAGTAGTATAAATGCATTTCTATATACGAAGCACAGGAATCCAACTTAAGGAAATCCATATAATTATTCCAAGTGTGGTGGTTTTTTAATTTTTTGTTTTTAATGTTGGTGAATTTGAAATAGACTGCTTCTTTTCTTGTGATGCTTACCATCATGTATTTATTAGTAAGGCTGCGAGTCTGCCACAGAGGTCATGGAAGTCATCCACCCAACTGCTTCACTTCAGATTCCCTCCACCTAACTTTCAGACCCTCCTTCTTTCTCTTCTCCCCTGCTCTTTCCCCTTGGCCTCCCATCCCTTCAATGACCCTGTTCCATTCCCTTGTCTTGTCTTTCCATTTCGCTAATCACTTCCTATAGAAACTTCACACAATTAAAAAAAAACAAAACAGGTCTCTAAAATGATATTTGCCACCATCACATTGATTGCTCTTTTTGTATGTTGCATCCCTTTCCTTTTGTCTATCTATTGGAAGCTCTTCAGGGCATGGACAATCTGCTACTCTGTGTTTGTACAGTACCTAGCACAGTGGGGCTTGATCTTGATTGGTCCTTAGGCACTACTGTAATAAACATCATTAGTAATAATAATGCTATAGTGACAGGTAGAAGAGGCCCCAATCAGAATGTAGACAGAGCTTAGATGGTGCACTGAGATGCGCTATAGACAAATCTCAGATGGAAGGCCATTTGATTGTATAAGAAGAGGTTACTCACCTGTGCAGTAACTGACGTTCTTCGAGATGAGTGTCTCTGTGGGTGCTCCACTGTCGGTGTGCCCCTGCGCCATTGTTCAGAGATTTTTACAGCAGTACCTGTATCAGCTGCGCATACGCGGAGCCTGCCTCACATACCAGTCTTGTCTTAATAGTGCGCATGCGCGGCCAAGCCCCTCAATTCCTTCTCTACAACGGAGGCCGCTCCCGCTCCGAAGTAGAGGGGAGTGGAGCACCCACAGGGACACTCATCTCGAAGAATGTCAGTAACTGCACAGGTGAGTAAGCTCCTCTTCTTCTTCGAGAGGTGTCCCTCTTGGTGCTCCACTGTAGGTGACTGAAAAGCAGTATCTCTCAAGGAGGTAGTGACTTTGGATCTGGAAGGAATGCAGTAGATAGAACAGCTCTGCCCACACGCGTATCGGGGATGGGTCACTGTGTAAGAGCGTAAAGTTTTGCAAACGTATTTTCAAAAGCCCAAATGGCAGCTCTGGAAATGTCCTTAAGGGGGAAGTTATGTAGAAAGGCCACAGAGGCCGCCATGGATCTGGTGGAGTGAGTCCTGATAAAAGTAGGAGGAGTCACATTCTGTAGTTGATAACAGAGACAAATGCAACTTGAGATCTAGTTGGAAAGTCTGTGGTTAGAGATAAATGAGTCCATAGAGCGTTCTGCAATGGGGACAAATAGCTTGTCGGAACGCCTAAAGGTTTTAGCCCTGTTGAAGTAGGAGGACAAAGCTCTGCGCACATCCAAAATGTGCATCGTAGATTCAAAGGAATTCGCATGTGGTTTTGGAGAAGGTAGGAAGATGGATAGGCTCATTGATGTGGAAAGATGAATGCACCTTTGATAGAATTTCAGGGAGTAAGCGTAGGGTGAGATTGTCCTTAAAAAATATGGTGTATGGCGGATCTGCCATAAGTGCTGCAATTTCTCCTGTGCATCTCGCAGATGCAATTGCTACCAGAAATGCAGGTTTCATAGAGAGATGTAGGAGGGAACATGTGGCTAATGGTTCAAATGTTTTTTGGGTTAGGCATGTTAAGACTAAGGGAAGGTCCCAAGATGGATTAGGCGGTTTGATGTCTGGGTATAGGGTTTGGGGTCCCTTAAGGAATCGCTTAGTAATGGGGTGAGCAAAGATATTTCTATCGTCGAAGGCATCATGGAACATTGTAATTGCGGCCAAGTGGACTTTGATGGGACTCAGGGAGAGTCCAGAGAGTTTAATCTCTAACAGATAGTCGAGGATTAGCAGGAGAGGCACGGAAAAAAGGAGTGGTTTTTGTGACAGCCCACCAGTGTGTAAATCTTGTCCAGTTATGAAGGCAGGTGGTGCATGTAGAATTTGTTGTGCTATGAAGGAGTACATTTCGAACCTGCTCCGAGCAAGTTCGCTCGGCATAAGAGAACCATGAAGGAGCCAAACCTTGAGAAGTAACATGGTTAAATTGGGGTGGAGTAGTAGACCATGTTGTTGGGACAAGAGATACGGGTGGAGGGTAGTGGGATGGGTGCGAAAAGCGACATCTTGGTAAGGAAAGGGTACCATGCCTGTCTGGGCCATGTGGGGCTATCATCATGACCCTGGCTTGTTCTGTTCGTATTTTTATCAATAATTTGTGTATGAGTGGTATCGGGGAAATGCATACATTAGGTCGGTGATCCATGGGAACATGAACGCATCCCCTGAGGAGTGTTTGCCTAGTCCTGCTCTGGAACAAAATCTTGGGCATTTCTTGTTTGCTGCAGTTGCGAAAAGGTCTGTGGTTGGGTATCCACATTTGTGGAATATGTCTAGTACTATATCCTCATTTAGTTCCCATTTGTGGTATATGGGAAATCTTCTACTGAAGTCGTTGCGGTGGTATTGAGAGAGCCAGGTAAGTATGCAGCTGATATTCAGACATTGTGTCTGAGACACCAGTTTCATTGCTTCTGTACAAAGGGAGCGGGATCGCGCGCCCCCTCCCCCCCCGCCTGTGTACACAGAACATGCAGGCAATGTTGTTGGTCATTATCCTGACATGTTGGTTTTGTATGAAGGGGAGAAATTGGAGACAGGCATTGTGTATCGCCCAGAGTTCTAGACGTTGATGTGAAGGGACATCTTGGCAGGAGACGAAAGCCCCTGGGTAGTGTATTGGGGCATGTGTACTCCCTATCCCGTAAGGGATGGATCTGTAGTTATGACAACCGACGGGATGTCCTGTAGAAAGGGACCCTGGAGGAAAGGTTGTGAGGCAATGTTCACCAGTGGAGGGAGTCCTTGACTCTGGGAGGTATGTATAAAAGTTTGTTCAGACCATGGATATTCGGTCTGTAGACAGTGGAATCCAGCTTTGGAAACATCTCATGAAGAGGTGAGCATTCCTGACTACAAAAGTGCAAGAGGCCATGTGGCCTCGGAGTTGTAGGCAAGCTCGTGCAGCTACTTGTGGACTGTTGCACAGCTTGGGAATGAAAAGGTTGATGGTGTTAAAAAGGTGGAGTGGGAGAGATGCTATTCTTTTGCATGAGTCGAAATGTGCTCCTATGAACTCCAGCTGTTGGGTGGGAGTGAGTGAGGATATTCTTTGTTCATTCACAGGCCAAGAGCATGGAAACATTGAACTGTCCGTTGTGTGGTTTGAATGGCTTCTTGGAGGGTCCTGGCTTTGAAAAGGCAGTTGTCAAGGTAAGTAAAAATTATGATTCCCTGCCTTCTGAGATGAGCTGTTATGACTGCAAGGAGTTTGGAAAAGACACGAGGCACAGTCGAGAGGCCGAAAGGTAGGACCCTGTACTGGTAGTGTTGTGAGCCCAGAACGAAGCGAATAAAACGTCTGTGGGCAGGATGTATGGTCACAGGAACATAAGCATCCTGCAGGTCGAGGGCTGAAAACCCAATCTTCCTGCTCCAGTGCTAGAATTATGGTTGCAAGAGTCACCATTTTGTATTTTTTTTAAAACAAATTTATTGAGGCATCTGAGGTCAAGAATGGGTCACCATCCCCCAGTTTTATTTTGTGTTAAAAAGTAATGGGAGTAGAACCCTTTTCCTCTGTGTTGGTCAGGCGCTGGTTCTACTACTCCTAATTGGAGGAGGTGATGCACCTCCTGGTGGAGCAGTTGTTTGTGAGAGGGGTCCCTGAAATGGGACAGGGTGTGGGGGGGAATGGGCACTGAAGTAGGGATGATGCTTTCTATACCCTCGGTCACATCTTCAAATTTGCTTATTAGTGGGAGGGGGTTGACAAGGAGCCGACATTGTTGTTCATATGGTCTATGACATTGTTGAGTATACGTAGGGTAGTGTGGATGTTGATAAGGTTGGTATCTATATTGTCTCCTCCTATTTGCAGGAGTTTGGATACCGAGAGACCGTAATGTCATCCCTTGAGTCCTTCATGGTGTGAACCACACCGTTGGTGTTACTGGCAAATAGTTTTTCACCATCAAAAGGGAGATCTTCGATGGTATTCTGAACCTCACAAGGAAAAGAAGATGATGAAAGCCATGAAGCTCGACGCATCACGACTGTATTAGCAGCATCAAGCGCAGCTTGTAGTGCGGTACGGGAGATGATTTGTCCCACAGAGACTATGGCTTTAAGCTGATCGTTTTTTGCCCTCTGGAATGTCATCAATAAAGTCATTTTTGTGATCATATTTTGCCAGAACGGCCGCATAATTAGATATCCGAAATTGTAATGTGGACGAAGCATACACTTTACGACCAAGCAGGTCCAGCCTTTTATTGTCTTTATCAGTTGGGGTAGACCTGGGAACTGGTCTTTGTTCTTTTGGTTAGCTGCCTCTACTACCAATGAGTTTGGCACTGGGTGAGTAAAAAGGAACTCAGACCTTTTGGAAGGAATAAAATATTTCCGGTCAGCATGCTTACAGGTAGGTGTGCTAGTAGCCGGTGTCTGCCATATGGTTTTGGGAGGATCTATAATGGCTGGATTTATAGGTAAGGCAATCTTGGAAGTGGAGGAAGGTTGCAGGATGTCA